TACATGCTTTCTCAGCAAGAGTAATGAGAGCAGGTAAGTGAAATACCTTTTAGATGTGATGTGGCAAATGGTCATGAAATTCATAGAAATCTCACTATGACACTGCCATTTCTACTACAAGGAAATATAATTTCTATAGTAAAAGACAATATTATAAACAAAGTACTAGAATCCTTTGCCAAATTATCATATTTTTCAAAATTGAGAATTGCTCATCCATCACAATACAGAAACTCAAAATCTTCAATTCCACTTGAAACTCAGCTCATCAGATGAAGACATGTTATATGTTATACATTATCACAACTACCTTGTTGTTTTTAGATAGACTGCAATTAGAAAAATTCAGCTCATCATTATATGAGAAAAATAATTAATTGTAAAATCCATTCAGGGGAAAAATATATATATATCCTGGCTTCTAGGATTCAAACTCCATTGTCTACAACAGAAAAAATTTAGATGCTCTATTTTCTGACTATGCTGTTTGCAAGGTCACCTTGTCCAGGTGAATTTAAATTGCATAATTAGGAGTAATTCAGCTGCAGAATGCAACAAACAAACAAAACAAAACCAAAAAACCCACTGAAAGTTTAATATTTCATAGGCTTCAATTTTCGTAGGTTTTTTGAGAAAATATCTACATATTTCACCAAACTGCGAGTCAGTACTCTATTGTTCCCTCCTACGGTTCCCGTAAACAAGGTAGAAGAAAGTACCAAAGGTAATTTAGTATGCAGGATGAGGAAATGGTAGAAAAAAACTGCTACCAAATCATACTTAAGTGCTGCAAACTGACTTTGTAAGTGTTTCTACTCAGTGGTATATGGCATTCCTTGATAAATATCCCCCTAGTATTACTGTAGCATTCATCACCCTCCACAACTGAAATACTACTTGCTCAAAACGAGTCACACATACACACACACACACACACACAGAACAAAAAGTGAAGGTAGGCTTTCAGTTTTTGAAATTATATTTTACTGAACTTTAAGCTACTGTATGTTAAAATGACCCTTTTATTAGTTATCATTCTTATTTATTCACAAAACTAAACTACCTGCTCAAGTATAATACAAATTCTTTAAACTGCATCCACTGTGTAAAAACAATTTCAGAAATCTCACATTTTATGATGAGTTTCAGCAAATAACAATCTACAGAACACTATCTGAGAGGGGTGTTATTTAAAATAAAAAAGGTATTTATACTTACTGTCACTATGAGCCAGGATTCATTTTCCTCAGATGTTTGCTTGCTAATATGGACTCTCTGTGAACAGTTTGCTTTTCTAAGCTCACGAAGGATGTGCGGGTTGTCTTACTAAGGCTTAATAGGATAACAAGTTCAATGCTTTTTTTCTTTGGACTTATCCACTTCTGTACTGTCAACCTTAGTTGGCAATGATATGCTATATATACCTACTTTTCCGATCACGGAGGCAAAAAAAGGACTGCTGGTTATTTAACATTTAACAACTAAAGCAAATAAAAACAAATAGTAACTGAGCTCATTAGGGCTTTACTTTTCTCAGCTTTGTCTGAAAAGTTTTAGTCAATAAAATTACCTATACTAAAATTAAAGATAAAGGAGGGAACAATGCTGTTCTTGCTCCACTTCTTTTTCTATTTCTGTCCCTTAAGCTCAGAATCTGATTAGTATATTTAATTCCGTGAAGCATCATGACCCGTCTACCTTTAATCAGCCTGCTGACATCCAGCCCTTGCCCTTCACATGTTGTAGAGCTCAAGATATTATCATTTACCTGTTTGGTAACGTTATGATACAAAATACAACGCACGCTGTTCATTCACAACACTGGAAAGATTTTTCATGTTTACATGTCCATTATTGAAAAAAAGAAAAAAAGATGAGCATGCTTAGGGGGACTAAAGCAGGTTTATTAAAACTCTCACATTGCAATTTGAGCATACAGCATTGCTATTAGCATAAATTTTCTGTTTAGACTTCTCTATTTTTTATTTGTTATTATTTATTATTATATTTATTACTTATGTTTATTATTTGTTACTTTGTTTATTGTAACTTTAAAAAGACAAATATTACAAACTATATACTGAATTAAGTTAATTCTCAGTAGTGCTCTAGCAAGTTGGAAGAGAGAACATTTTCAGATTTTCTTCCTAATGAAACTGCGTGTATTATAAGCACTCTTTTTGCTTTGGGATCACAGTAGAAGCAAGAGAGAAGAAACTGAGGGATCATTATCACACATCACAAACAAATAACATCTATTTTTAGTGGCTTAAGGGATTATATTTTCTTAATATACTGCTTTATCACAGTGACAAGCACAGCTACAGTCTGGATAAGGCAAACAGCTCAAATGTTATGAAGGTACTACCCTGATCCAGTGAGGAACACTACACTTCGGTCCTTCCCTAAATTGTTCCAGTTGCTAATAACTACAGCATTTGGTTCTTCAATTAGACACTTCATATGTACTCTGCAAATCACCACGCCTTCAGAATATTTCTATGCATAGGTGTTTCCAAAATAAACCTCAAGCTTATTATTTACAAACATGTCAAATCATGCTCATGAACAGCTAGGAAAGCTTTCACTTAAAATTAAGACACTGAAATGATCAAATTAGTTTCCTCAAATAAATGATTTTTATCAACTTTTCTGTGAATGGTTCTTACCTTATGATGAAGATAGAAAAGAAAAAAAAAGACCTCTGGTTTAGGAGGAAGTTTTTCACTCAGAAGGCGGTGACACACTGCAACAGATTGCCCAAGGAGGCAGTGGATGCCCCATCCCTGGAGGCATTCAAGGCCAGGCTGGATGATGCTCTGGACAGCCTGGTCTGGTGGTTGGCGACCCTGCACATAGCAGGGGGGTTGAAACTCAATAATCATTGTGGTCCTTTTCAACCCAGGCCATTCTACGATTCTATGATTTAGCTTTCAAGCGTGTTAAATACGTTAAAATTATAATTTCCAGCCATTACAAGTAAGAGATTAAAATCTTATTCACGATCTCAGATAAAAACATTTTCTTTTTAAACCAATTTTTTTCTGCTCTTTTCATTCTGTAAAGTATCATTTTTGAAGTTATTTATGAGCATTTTTAATAACAGACTTTATTATAGATTCTTAATTACAAAAACTGAATCTCAACATTGGTTATGGGCACCTTCTGAGTTTCACAGTTACAAACTCATTGCTATAGCAACCCACCCATACATATAATTTCCTACATGAAAAGCTAATATTAGAATGGAACCTTTACATATATTTTCAGTTATCTTAGTGTGATAAATGGTTTATCTTTATATAATATATATTTGCTCTTTGCATTATTCTGCTTCTTCTGCCTGCTCCTCATTCCCTTCTTGTTCATTTTTCTTAACATTTTTCTCCATTACTGTCCCATGCTCTCCACTCTATCTGTTCGAAGAAGCTGCAACCAGACTTCCTTGTGTTTGATACTGATTTTTCAAAAGATTAATTCTGCTGACCACTTGAGTCCTGCTAGTATTGATAGTCCATGAAAACTTCTCATATTACCTCTCCTCTGTAAAAGAGATCTTAAAGCAAAGCAGTGCATTGTTTTCTTCTCAATTTCACATGGCTCAAGTGATACCCTTATTTTCTTAATTTGTAGGTATGGGTGAAACAAGGATCAGAATAAAGCAATGTATGATTCATCACCTGTTCTAACTGTCAGAAGAGTTTCTTCCTTAAAAGCTTGATGCGTACTGCCATAAAAAAAAAAAAAAATTGCTGCTATAATAGGAATGTTGAATAGAAAGAAGTATTAGGATCTGTAGAACATTTTTAATGATTCCAGACTTACAAAGAATTTTGAAACAAATTTCACATTGATTAAAAAAATATTCATATTATTCTGAACAAACAAAGCACTATTTAATAGTAAGCTAATTCTTATGACCCCCCACTGCCTCCTGGCCATTTGTATTTCTTTTTATATGCTGCACCGTTACAGAGTACTGATTCATAAAATAATGACATTAATAACTGTATACTTTTATAACCTTCCATTTCCATTTCATATAAGCTTATATTCCTTCAATAACAATAAATTAAGGCACAAATCTGAACTACAGCATTGAAAACACTTAAGTAAATAATTAGTATATTGCCTTCTCAATCATACAGCTGGGGTTGATTATAACTCTATCAACTGTAAATTCTTAATAGCAGTAACAACCTACCATCCCAATTTCTATAGAACAGCTTTGTATATATTTTCACATCTTTTAAATAATCTACTGTTCTCCTCCATTACTCTGCAATTCCATTTCTATCAGTCACTAAGTACATTATCTTATATAAAGACACTTAGGATTTTTGGAAAGATTTTCCAGTGCATTTTTCATAAACAGAGTGCTGTGTTAGAAATTTAAATTCAAGTTCACACAACTGATTAAATGCTGGCCAAATCAGACTGGGGGATCTGCAGGAATAAATGTTCTGCTTAGAATGTTCTTCATGTAAGAGATAAAAGGTACTCCACTTAATGGTGCTATTAGCTCAAAAATAACTGTTACTGACAGGAGTTTCAACACTGAACATTTGTGTTTTCTGTGCCACGTAGAATTTAAAAAGAGGAGATAGGAAAAAATGAGAATACTAGTATGAGAAAACTGGAGGATATAAATGCAGAGTTCAGATTAAAGTAAAGGTTAGGCCTTCCTGTAAGGCAGTAACTCCTTCCAGGGAGGGACAGAATCAACATCAAGAGCATAACAATGACAGACACAGTAATTTGATCAAAAAAATCACACATGCAAAAAAAGTAGCTGGGCACAATAAAATATTCATTTTGTCTATATGTTGTCTGCTTCCTTGGGATATTCACTGAGTTTCCCTCAGTTTTCACTCAGATCTGAAAAAATATGTAAAGATTTGCGTAGTATATCTCAGAAACCTAAGGAAAGACTCAAAAATTCACGTGGTTGCAGAAACAATAGATAAGCAGTTCTTTTAAATTCACTCCTAATTTTAGAATTCATTAGAAGAAAGAATTTAATTCAAAGATTAGCATTCATTCCAATCCAATGTTTTATCAACTGGTGTGCAATAGCTTGACTCGGTGGTACAAAGAACAAACGCTGATTTCCTTTAATGAGAACATCCACAACCTGCAATAAGAATACATATTTTTTTTCCTTAGAAAAATTATAAGCCATACAGAATCTAATGTTGAATTAACATATGGAAAATGATGCAACAATTATCTATCAGTCTATTGTTACTGTAGCCATTAAAGGGTTACTACCAGAGTCTCCGAGAAAAATGCAAAAAAAAAATGCAGAAAAAACGCAGAAAATGTTGGATTCTGACATTTTTGAGCACAAATGTCCCCCAAGGGATACTTTCTTATTCATGCAACTGTGGAGATAGACTGTTAATATAATATTTAAGGTTTTTGTGAAATCTCTGCATGGTGAAACCACCAGATGGTGCTATATACTGTTCATGAAATATTTTCTTTTTCATTTTAACATATGGTATAGGAGAAAGTATGTTTTGTTCATTTTCTGAAGCAAGAGTGAACAGCATGGGTGTATGCTTTTAGATTAGCACATTTCTGAAGTGCACTTATGCCCAATTCTAGACCAATCTGCATATGACTTGCTACATTAGAACTGACAGTCATTTAAAATAATGTTTTTAGCATTGTTAGAAATACACTGAGATTGTAGGTGGCTAATTTTGCCTTCAAGTTGATTTGCAGAGTCACAACACTTTTAACTGCTAAGCAGCTGTATAACGTTATTAGAAATTTAGCTTATAAGAACTTTGTGGCAAAATCCAGTAAGACTATGCTGTATAAGCAATGTTCACATTTTCTACTCATGAACTCTTTCTGCCAAAGATCTTTGTTGTTTTTTTTTCTTTTTTCCTCTGTTTCACTTGATCATAGCTTAAATAATCAGGAAATCTACATATAGAATTTTACATTAATGCAAAATAAATTACACTCAGTACCAGATTATTAAAAAACTCCCTAATGAAAAAAAAGATTTAAAATAATGACTTCAAAGAATTTTTATCTAAATCTCACCTCCAGCCCCACCAAACTTGGTAGCATACTTGTTTGCAGTAATTCAGGCGAAAAATACTACTTCTGCCAAAACACAACACTTTTTCTTTATGAAGAAAACTAGGCTACAATAACTCTTAATTTGGATGTGTCCCAAAAGAAAAAGGTGAACAGTTAAGAGACAATAATGACATAGAACGGACTTGCCTGTGACCCAGTAATTACTGTGCTCCTTATGAGTACCTGCCTTTTACTGTTCATGTAATCTACAAATACAATGTAATGCAGCTACAGTATGATAAAATGGAGAGATTACTATCTCATTCAACTTGCTGAAAAAAGCAAGTATCTATTCTGCCAGAAGTGATACGACCACAGACTAATCAATACGAAAAGGAAATTAAATTGAACTTTACTTGTTCTCTAGTGAACCAGCGGGCATCCTCTATTTCATTCTTGTCAACTCTAATTTCTGTAGACACTGCAACAGCTAAGCAGCCAATCATTAGGGAGGAGGGCATTGGCCATGGCTGACAAGAGACATACTGAACATGGCCAACTTTGACTCCAGTTTCCTCTTCTACTTCTCTTCGAACAGCATCTTCTATTGTTTCTCCTGATCAAAAAGGGCAAAGAACAAAGAGCTGATGAAAATACTCCAAGCAAGGATTACATCCTGTGCTTTGAACTGACTCCAAGGATTTTAAACTGCAATAGACAATTACGCATAGACATCTAGTTCACGGATCAGGGTATAGATCTTCAGCTCAGGGCACAGAAGACTAATAGGGCTATCCACCACAGCAAAATGGAACTATGAAAAACTGTAATTTTTCCACTGCACCAACTATTTCCTGAATTGATAATTCATCATACATGCAACCTACCATTACCTGACACCTTAAAAATTCGGTAGGAAATACACTGTTCCTTAAATGAATTTTGAAATGCAGATCTGTTCATTTAAAAACAGCATTGCGTTAACTTTTAAGTTTTCAGCAAGAATGTAACAGCAGGTATCTAACTACTTAAAATGACAAAAATAGAGACTTAAGTAGACTTGTACAAAATTCTGTACAGTGTTATTCATTTTCTATGACTCATTTTTCATTATCTTGATACATGTCGACAACTCTTCAAACTTAAACCGCAATGAAAAAATCTTTATGTCCACATTCATGGAAGATTTACAAGGCAAAGATTCTTTACTGAGACAATGGTTAGGCAATGGAACAGACTCCCAAGAAAACAGTCACAGCACCAAGCCTGCCAGAGTTCAAGTGCCTGATAGCACCCCCAGAAACATGGCTTCATTTCTGATTGGTGCTGTGCAGGGGCAGCAGCTGAACTCAGTGATCCTTGCAGTTACTGATGTGATATATTCTATGACTTCTGGATGTGTATGTGGAGTGGAAGTGGTGTTAAGCTTACATACACGCATATATAAGCATATACATGCTTTGCAGTATATGTCCACTGAAGCGGACAATCCATGCATCAGTAAGTGTTTTATTTGAAGATAAGAAACTTTTTAGATAGTTCAAACTAGTTCTGCAAGAACCAAACTTTTTTACTACAGATCACAATATACACTGATCTTCCTACACATTCTGCTTTGTCCCGTAAGATAACTAACCACTAATAATGCAATCTTTTCAGTCTTTTAAGTCTTCTCATCCAATTAAGAATTAATTTCTGAATAAATTTCAAGATCTGTGGTTATATTCTTCATTTTCTTTACTAAGCAACCAAGTATTATTTCAACTAGCAAGTGAATTCCTAAGAGATAAAAGTTCTAGAGGAATTAAGTTAAACTGATCAGAAACTGCTAGGATCAGAGATCTTAAATTTCAGTATATACATTTGAATCAGTATCAGAAAGTACCAAAACTGAGGGAATTAAGAAAGGAGTAAAGAAATAAACCACCTAGCTTTTTTTCAAATGACATCAGCTTATTCACGCTCTTCCCATATTTCATTTGCACGCAGCTACTGAATATAGTTCAGCATATAGTTATTTACTATAAATAACACTATAGCTAGTGATTAAGATGTATTCACAATATAAGAATGTTTTATAAATTATTCAACTGCCAATAATTTTAACTAATTCTGAATATTACTGCTGAACACAGCTAGCAAAATCTCTTTGCTTTTCCTTGAATATTATGAGATCTCTGCTTATCTTCCATATAATCAATCACTTAAGCATAAAGCGGAACTCTTATTTCTCCTATATTAAAACCCCTTTGTAAAAATCACCAAAGAATCACTCTTACATGTATTTTAAAATGTTTTTTATCACTTAATACATGATTTAGAAGTGTATGATGAGAGAATGATTTGAAACCTTTATTTACTCAGTTGCTTTTTTTTTTTTTTTAAAGCAGCTGTTGCAGAACACACTATTGGTATGTTTATTATTACAACTTATCTAGCAGGAAACAAGAATATTTATTTGACATAACACAGAACAAATTTCTGAATTATTTACAATGTATAAAACTGGTATGTGGGAAACCATCTGATAAGGGAAAATTACTCACCAGGTTCTACAAATCCAGCAAGACAGGTAAACATTCCAGGGGGAAACCTCTTCTGTCTACCTAAAAGGCAGTGATTCCCATCCGGGTGAATGACTTGCATTATCACAACAGGATCTGTAATGGACATTAAAGGAATATATTTCAACTTCTGGAGGACTTAAAAGCAGCAAGAAAATTCAGCCTGTATTGAAGTATATACACAAATGTGTATACAAACCAGAAAATTTTAAGTGCCTTAAATCAGAATGGTGTAAATGCCCAGAGCAAGCAGTTATTTTATTTTGCTTTGACTGGTTGTTTTTTGTTTGGCAACACAAACACTTTGTGTAAGCAGTTTACTAGCCAAGGTTATGGCATAAATTACCTGCAACCCCAGCATACAATCTGTTAAAAGTCCAAAGGTACTAACTTAGCTATGCGTCCAGCAGATAGAAACAATTTCAGTAACAAGTACAATTTACTATCACCTCCTCTAAAAGCACAGGCCTGTAGGGTGTAGTTTCCACTTAAATACACAACACAGAGTCAGGTACTCTGAATGCAATACTGACTAACCTTTCCACTTTCACTTGTTTGCTGTCAATTCCTTATCTGAAGTTGCATCTTTTCAGTCCTGATAATTTTATGCACCTTTTTCTTTTTTGCTAAATATTTTATATCGATATCATTATTTTTGTCATATGTTTCTGCATACTGTTTACCTTCTTCCCTTTTTATTCTCAATTATTCCAATGTTCTGTTTTAAAATGTTTCTGCCTCAGATTAACATTTTCCTCTTGCAATTGTTTTCTAGAACTTCTCTTTTTTAGTGTCCAAACTGCTTGTATTTTCTCTGTATAAAAATGTTTACTTCAGTAATTATCATAGTCAGAGATCTCAAAATCTGTTGTCCTACTTGGAGGTACATGCCACTGGCACAAAGAAGAATATGCAGTACTGCTGTCTGCTTATTTGCTTTTGTCAGAGAAAGGCGTAAGTACACTACACCGATTTGGCAGTCTTTTCTACATTCTCTCATTCCTTCTTTAAGTCTGTTGTACCAGAACTACAAATGCAAAAGAGAAGCATAGGTAGTGGAAGAAAGTTGATACCATATCATGCAGGAAAAAAAGGGTTATTTTCATTCCTTATTATCTTTGCATCAATACCATAGCAAGTATAATAATCTCCTTTGCGTCCAGTTCTGGGCTCCCCAGTACAAAAAAAGACAGGGATCTCTTGGAAAGAGTCCAGCGGAGGGCCACAAAGATGGTGAAGGGCCTGGAGCATCTCTCCTATGAGGAAAGGCTGAGTGAACTGGGTCTGTTCAGCCTTGAGAAAAGAAGACTGAGAGGGGACCTGATCCAGGTCTATAAGTATCTAAGGTGTGGGGGGCAGAATGGCGAGGCCGGACTCTTTTCAGTGGTGAGTGGAGACAGGACAAGGGGAAACGGCCGGAAACTGCAGCATAGGAAGTTCCGCACAAATGTGCGCAAGAACTTCTTTACAGTGAGGTGACGGAGCACTGGAACAGGCTGCCCAGGGAGGTGGTGGAGTCTCCTTCTCTGGAGATGTTCAAGACCTGCCTGGATGCCTACCTGTGCAACCTGCTGTAGGGAACCTGCTTTGGCAGGGGGGCTGGACTCGATGATCTCTGGAGGTCCCTTCCAACCCCTACAATTCTGTGATTCTGTCATTCTATGTAAACAAAACAAGCCACAGAATAAGCTTATTTTCTGAATAAAAGTAAACCTGGCAGTTTGCAACTGAGAATGAAAAGTCGAACCAGAGCAGATGGTTAATGGTGTCACCAACAGAAAAATGTAAAATTAAATCCTCTGGGTTGTTAATATAATTATATCATTTATATTGTTGGAATTTCTAACTACATTGCATTGCAGTAAATGCTGTTATTGTCACTGTCATTTTTTCACAGATCATAGAATCACAGAATCACAGAATCACCCGGGTTGGAAGGGACCCCAAGGATCATGTAGTTCCAACCCCCCTGCCTAGCAGGGCCACCAAACATACACATTCAGATCAGGTTGCCCAGGACCCCGTCCACCTGGCCTTAAACACGTCCAAGGACGGGGCATCCACAACCTCCCTGGGCAGCCCGTTCCAGGGCCTAACCACTCTCCTAGTAAAGAACTTCCCCCTAACATCCAACCTAAATCTTCCCTCCTTCAACTTAAAACCATTTTCCCTAGTCCTGCTGTTATTTTTTGTCACGCAATAAAGTTAAAGATTGAAATCTGAGTTTTGTAATCCTTAATACAGCTGAAACATGCACAGTCTGGGAAGAGACAAATACATAAGAAGTGAACAGAAACTGAAATAATTAAAAAAAAACACAACACCTGAGTAACATGCACTTCGTAACATTTGAACAAGCTTATCTTACAATATCCTCACCAACTCTTGGATATGACGTGTTATGAACACCTTGGAGGCTGGGACAATCTTCTTTTACACAAGTTTTCTTGTAGCCACCTTCTTTAATCTTGGTTGCGCTCCCACAAGTTGGGCAGAAACGGTAGCGGCTGTGCCATGCTAGAATAGATCTAGCCTGGGCTACTACTCCTTTTAAAAAATAGATTAAGAATGCATAAAATCACTAATTCATTTAAGCTCTTCAAATTAGAGGGAAAAAAAAGAGAAGTATTAAAGCCTAACGTAAAAATTGAAGTAGGCTATGGCTTAAACTGTCATCAACTGCATCAGAAGTTGCATAATGTAAGTTTTTTACATATTTTTATTTGCAGTATAGCATATGGAGTACAACGCAGTATGATGTAGATACAGATCAATTTATTTAAGATATTTGTCCAGATCAACATAACTTTTTCTTCACTGAAATTTCTTTGCCTGCATGAAGTGCCAGAATTGCATACCACACTTTATCTAAGGTGAAAAAGGCATTTACTACAGGTATTTTGACATAGCAAGGTATTGACTGTCTCATTTAAATTTGAGGTGCAAGTTGAGTTTGCCCTTTATCCTTCTCTAAAAGTGACCTTATTGCAACAGAGCTGTTGCAACATGTCTGTGGCATTCATCTGAACTTGGGTCCAAACCTTGCAACACTTGATCTCAGTTTTCTCCTCTGGCAAATATTTAGCACACCGTTACAAAGGACTTGTTACTCATCTTCATTACAAGAAACTTTACAACGGATTTTTCTTTCTTCTTCTTCTTTTTACAGCATTAATGCACATGCATTAATATTAAAACAGCGTTATCTGTAAAATCATGATAATTAATACACTTAACAGTTTACTACTCACAGTTGCAGATGTTAGCACTTTGCAACTGCAAATTTTTACACATAGAATTCTTCATAAAACCACTAACAAGACTGTGAAAATTTTCTTTTTTCTACTGTCATTGAAAATACCTGATTACTTTGCAGTAATTTGTCCTTGCAGCATACCTCAGCGAATAAAGCATATCTTTCTGCTACACATTTGATTACTGTTGCATTTTATGCATCTTACCAGCTTCGTTTTCAGGTAGCTGCAGTAGTGCTGGCATTGGTGGATGAAGAAAGTAACAATCCTCATGCTTCTGTTTAAATCTCTCAGCAGAAGTAGGATTTATGCTGAGAGCAAACCAAGCAATGAGCCCATCGTCATCACCTTCTTGTAGGACCTCCCCATTGTGAGCAGTCAAAAGACTTGTGTGCAACTGCAGATCAACTCCAAGAAAAATCAAGGTGACTTCATCAGACTGGCTCATGCAGTGTTCCACATCCTTGTGGTGCAGTCTGCAAAGCCTGACTTCTGGCTGCTCCAACTTCTCTGCTCCCCCACTCAGAGTAACCAATGGACTTAGGTCTGAAAAAAGTATGTATACTGTAGCTGGATGGCTTTGTTTTTTGCTTAGCCACTTGGAATCTATTCTTTTATCACTTCTTCGGTCCAGAAGCGTTGTGCCAAAATAATTTGAATATCCTTTCATTTCAGTTGGCAGAAAATCAGGCTTCTGTCCTCCTTTTGCATTAGCCAACAAATTAGCAATGTGCTTGTACCCCCAAAATTTAGCAATGTCCAGAGCTGTCTGCCTTGATTTATTAACGATGGACTTATCACACCTACAGAAACAGAAAAGAACAACAATTAACAGAGTGAACTTTTTCAGGAAGAGTTCCAATGTTATACCATTGTTACAGCACATAGATCTGATACCATTGAGCTGCACCAACTTTTCAAAACTCAAAATCAAGGGCATTCTTCAGGCTATATGTTGATGGCATTAAAAAATGATTGCAGTTTTTATTTTGCTATGGTCAAATCCCTCATTTATGGTGCATTTTTGACATCACTTAGCACGGTTCACGTAGTACTACAAGAGTAACCAATTAATTAAAATCCCAAACACTGCAACATGCTGTCCTGCCCTGCCAGAAGAAACAAACAAAAAAAAAAAAACAAAAAACCCATTGGCTCAAGACTCTTAAATCCTCTGGGTTGTTAATATAATTATATCATTTATATTGTTGGAATTTCTAACTACATTGCATTGCAGTAAATGCTGTTATTGTCACTGTCATTTTTTGTCACGCAATAAAGTTAAAGATTGAAATCTGAGTTTTGTAATCCTTAATACAGCTGAAACATGCACAGTCTGGGAAGAGACAAATACATAAGAAGTATGTATGTATATGTACAGGGGAAGTTTTGAAAGGCAAGGAAAGAGCGCTCTTCTGGCTTACCAGCAACACAAAATTGACTAGTTTAGCTAGCACAACTTTCCAGAAGCTACCAAAAGAGTAACCAAAACACTTAAAAAACAAGTTTACCATTAAGAAAGAATGAAGAATATGGCCTGTTTTTAGCGAGTAAAGCAGCACTCTGGTAAGCCTGGGACATAAGCTGGCCTGTGCAGATCTCTTTGTTCCCAAAACAAAGCAGAATGAAACATCTGGTAAACCAGTGTCTCATTGTAAATATTTCAATAAATTAAAAAAACATATCTGAAATACATTGAGGCGAACTGGGGGGTCACTCAAACAAGAATAAACTACTGTTTTTATTTTTATTTTTTGTCAATTTTAAACTAAGTGGCTAAGTAAAACAAAACTGTAATCTTCAAATTATACAAGAGATGCTGCGTCAGACTTATCAGTTTTTAAAACCAGAAGACACCAGTGCATTCATGCTGCTAATACACCGGTAACTTTATCACAGGCAGGAGTGCTTTTACTTGAGATTTCAATTAAACTAAATCCTGTCTGAGAGAGTTCGAACATGTTGTGGGAAAGTATTCAAAGACTAACATAAAGGCTCTTGGTGCTAAGTGAATTGATATTGCTCATTTATCTTCAATTTTTTTTTTTCTTCTTAGGTTAAAATCTTGCCGTGTTTTCTACTTATTTTCTTATCACTGAATTTCATTCCTATTTTGTCTTCCACTTTCTGCCTACTCATGTCCATGCAGACTGTGATGAAACTGCTATCCAATATCTTCTGCAGTGGCCCAAAATTTTCAGATCACCAAGATCTTTCTTCCAGTCTATAAATGTCTCTTATAGCTTTTCTCAAGCCTGGATGAACTGAATAAAATAACTCAGGCTTAGTTTGTGGAATGTTATACTAACGGTACCTTGCTAGTTGTACTTGACATTCATGTTTACACATCCAGCAATTGCGTTTTTCCACATGACTGCTATGGCTAAACATTACTGATATGAAACCATTGAGGCTGCAGTAACACATCAGTAAATATGGCCTAAGAGAATGGCCATGAAAGGGGCATTTACAAGCAGAAAATTCTTTTTTTTTTTTTTTTCTTTCTTTAAATATTAAGTAGAACTTCTGTCAAGCTGAGAATTTCTCCAAAATCTCAGAGGGCTCCTCAAAAACACGGAGGATTTCAATCTACAATATATGGCACAGCAACACTGCTCTACTTGCTAGAATACACTAATTATGGTACAAAAGAGCACTCCACGGTAAGCCCCAGCAGAAGAATGTACAGTACCTTAGTAGGTCTTAAAAATAAGGGTGAGAAGATCTGGGAGGATGTAGACAATCATTTATAACCACAGAATGAACTAGTCTAGTTTGGCAGTGTAATTAGGGATACAGAAAGGAACTGAGTGGTCTTCATAGAATCACTGAGACATCTGGGTTGGAAAGGACCTTAAAGATCAAATAATTCCAAGCCTTTCTGCCTTGGGCAGAGATAACTCCCAGTAGATGAGGCTGCCCAGCTTGGTCTTAAATGCCTCCAAGCACTGTGCCACTCATGAACTTGCTGATGGTGCATTCAATCTACTGTATCTGTCATTGATAAAGATGTTAAAAACACTGATATCAATACCAAAACTAGGACTAAAACTGAGGGACACCGCAGAGGTCAGCTGAGCTCTTGCTCTCATTTTGGAATGTTACTCATTAGAAACATCCTAGCTTTATATGGGCTTTACAGGAACCCTGAGGCTTCAAGACCTCTGAAGCGTTTTCTGCTTTACTCAGTGTCTTTCAACACCAGAACTACAGGATTTGACTTGAGGACAGATAACAAAAATTAAAGTAAATCCTTAACAAGCAAAAACATATCTCGTTTCACATTGACCAAAGGGGGTTTTAAAAAAAAAAAAAAAAAAAAAAAAAGACACCTTAAAAATAAAGAAGTGTCTCTGAAAAATAATAAATAAATGAAATTTAGCAATCACTGACTTTGGTAAAGGCATGTCTATCATGTCCAAGATAGTGGTCAATATGCTTGCAGATATTCTGCAATATTACTGGTTCAAGTGTATTACAATTAAACCTGAGACAAAAAGTCTAAGTGGAACAATTAAACGTATCAAGTTTGTACTCAGAACAGTACTTGTAATGGGATTGTATCACCATACTTTATTGTACTGTATTGGTTTTTGGGAGGAGTGACCCTGCCTTTGAAGATCAAAGCAATAACTTTAGAAATCCTCACATAGTTGAAACTGCTGTTAGCAAGTATGGAAATCATGATGCAGTAGCACAATCCAGTTATAAACTGACAAAAATTTCTGAATTTTAAGCCTGAAAATTCTTCTGCTATCTACCAAGTAAATGTACTTATCTGATACTGCATTTAAATGGAAAGAAAGGGACTGAGCTCCTCAGCAGGACCTACTGAACAGCTTACCCTCCTTCCAGAAGAATCCGCACAACATCAAAGTGTCCATTTCTTGCAGCGTACATCAGGGCTGTCCAGCCGTTACCTGCAGTCGCATTGAGCAGTGATGGAGAACGGCTGAGCAATGCTTTCAGCCTGGCTGCGTCTCCAACCGCAGCAAAGTTATGCAGCTGGGAAACCATTTCCTGATGGAAGTTCTTTTCAAAGTTGGTCATTGTCTCAACTGAGTTATAAAGCAAGAACACCTAAAAATATGCTTACTGTTAGCAAAATATTTTAAATAAATGAAGCAAATTGTTAACATCACACAGATAGCCCTAACTCCTGTCACTAAATTATGGTAATGGTCCAATTTGTGTAATTAGAACATACTTGTTGCCCTTGAGCAAATTTTTCGCCTCTCCTATCTGCAAGCACGGTAAAATTTTACCTAAACAAATCAAAGTTACTTTCAAGGAGGCTTAAGGAGAGAAGAACTTTGCTGCAAAAATGAAATTTCTCTGAATACAAATACTCCAGTTTCCGAGCAAACAAACTGCAAATCCAGACTTCTGAAAAGTACCAAACCCAAGAAACAAACCCCAGGTGCCTGGGGAACAACGGAAGACACACATAAGATGGGTCCTTTTCCAGAAGACCAGACCACCCTCCTCTGGGGCGATCTTTCCTAAGCTCTGCTGCGCAGCCTGGTCCATTTAACTGCACCTACGGCCCCACGGCCGCTGGGTGGCCCACACGGTCAGTCCGCCCGCTCCCTGCACGGCCCAGCTCCGCGCACGCGCAGCCCGCGCTTACAGCTGCGGACGCACCCGCTCCGCTCGCTGCAGCGTCACCAGGGCGCTTCGAGAGCCGGCAGGGTGGCAGCAGTTGCGACCCCAAAGGTCGTGGCTACGGACCAGCCGCAGGCGGGGGAGAGTCGTGCTTGAGCCGCTGTTTATTATCTCCCGAGCCCGAACCCGCTGCAGAGCCGAGCCACCGGGCGCCCCGTTACCGTCAGTCGGGCTGCGTACGCACTTCCGCTGCGGAAGGGGCGCGTCTCAGGCCGTCCCGCCCCGCCCCCGGGGTCGAAAGGGCGCGCAGGGGGAAGGTTGCTCAGTACCGAGTGCTGCAGGCGACAGTTCCCGTGTTGTGTCTGGTTACTCTTTGCCAGATGAGTTATTTAGCTACAGAAAGCAGACTTTTTTTTTTTTTTTTTTTTTTTTTTTTAGGTTGTCTTTTGCAAGGTAATAAACCGCGTTAACAGTAGAATGTGCAGTAATTGCAAGAGATGTGGAACAAATGAGGTACAGCAGGGGACAGCAGTTGAAAGGGGAGCTGGAATGCTGGCTGTCCCCCCTCTGCCTTGCCCTCGTGGGGCCCCACCTGAAATACAGCGTCCTGGGGCCCCCAGTGTGAGAAGGACTGCAGCTGTTGGATTGGGTCCAGAGCAGCCCTGGAGTTGGACTGTGCGTCTCCTAAGAAGGAAGGTTAAGGGAGCTGGGCTTCTTCAGCATGAAGAAAGCTCCAGGGAGACCTAGTTGTGGCTTTCCAGTACTTGAGGGGAGCTTATGAACAGGAAGATAACTGACTTTATAGTCATATAGTGATAGGGTATTGTGATTTTTTTTTTTTTTTCCTGAGTATGGCACTGGAACAGGTTGGCCAAGAAGGATGCCCCATCCCTGAAGGCATTTAAGGCCAGACTGGATGTGGCTCTGGGCAGCCTGTTCTAGTGGTTGGTGATCCTGCACATAGCGGGTGGGTTGAAAGTAGGTGATCATTATGGTCCTTTTCAACCCAGGCTATTCTATGATTCTGTGATGGTAAGGCCCTGGCACAGGTTGCCCAGAATGGCTGCGGATGCCCCATCCATGGAGATGTTCAAGATCAAGTTGGGTAGAGCCCTGGGCAGCTTTATTAGCAGGGTGGCGGCGCTGCTCACAGATCATTAAGGTTCTTCCAACCTAAGCTGTTTTATGATAAAAGCCAGAAGATGGTTTCAAAAGTGTGTGCTGTTAATGTATGAAAAGCTTGGTGAAATTGTGACTATGCCAGTCCTAGGAAAATGCATGTATTTAACAAGCACTGCTTCCTAGCAGCATCAAAACATGAAAATTATTACTGAGCAAGAGCGAAGAGTGCATGCAGCCTGTGATTAGTGAGAGAAAGGGCACTCGGAACTGCTGAACATGAGCTGACTGTAAGCATCTTTGTTGCCTAACATCTGCAAAAGGAAACATCTGGGGGAACAGAGACTTATGGTAAATACTTAAATACATGTACAAAAACTCTGAAGTAAATTGTGTTTGGGAGCTCAAGAAGAATGTGCTTGTTCTTTTCAGTCAGTTTTAACCCACGTGAATGAAGCAAAAATAACACTGTGCACTGCAAACCATATATCAGGGGCTGGGCCAGACTCACCAGCTGTTACACAAGCTGTTTTGTTGCTGACACACTGGTAATACTGATGGGACTGCTGCAGTTTGTCTGCCTGCAGTGAGTGGTTACCAAGCTTTGTACTTGGCTTAAAAAAATTGTGGATAAATGTTAGTCCAGCACCAGGTATTTTGAAGTCCTGATGCCAGTCTTAAGCTTTCAGAGAATAAAGGAAAAAATATTTACTTAAATCTGTTTGTTCAAAGATATTTTGGTTTCTTTTTACATGCCTTTGGAGTTATTGAGTCTGGTGGATTCATATTTTCAGGTTTCGTGAATATATTAAAACTTTAAACCCATAAGGACCAGACTGCTTTTGCATGTGGTGCTTTAAGGAAACATGAGACGTACTCTCAACAGTGCACATTTGTAGCACTGAGTGAAAAGAATGAGAGAAATTGTGACTGGGTTCTGTCAATCCCAGTAGTGGCACAACTGCTTGTTGTGTCTTATATAGTATTGCATAGAAAAAATACAGCTTGGCCTCAATTTTTAAAGCTCATAATGTTAGGTTATTAATTTTTGCAGTATGTGCAGTTCTGTAATTAGTCACTGCTAAATGATCAGCTGAAAGTACTAAATTGTTTGGAGTTCACGTATCTATTATATGTTTTTTATACTCGACAAGTGAGCTTGAAAATCTGTGCTGTGTGTTGTTTTGTACTCTTGTAAAAGCTATACTCAGCAGAGGGTCAGCTCTGTGAAATTATGTGTAGAAATAATGATGGCACAAAGCAGTGAATGCACATAAGGAATTGATAAGAGCTTTCTTCCAGATAGGAACAAATGAAAAGGTAAGGAATGTGATTTTAATTTTATTTAATCAGCTGGAAACTGTCTAGCCATACCCAATACGATGTGGGTCATGTACCCATAAATAATTGTTTCCACCTGGTGAAGAGCTGCCACCAGCTCCTCAATAGCTGAGTCCCACAGGCATTCTTTCTTCCTGTGATGATTAATGACTGAAGAAGGAAATAGCTTTTCACATTGTAATAGGCATTCAAAGGCACAAATTACTTCTTAGTAGTGTTTTAAATCTGCCATTTATGAAATTATAACAATGCAGACTTGTGTCGTGATCTGTATAATAAAGTTACTGATCTCTTAGGTGGGCTGAAGTATTCTTTGTTCAGGCAACCAAAGCTTTTCTTGGAGCACAGCATAGAAATTTATTTATTTGAATGACTCGTCTTATTCTGTTGAAGACTTAGAAATTTGCTTTGCTTGTTTTTACAAGGAAACAACTCAAAAATGAGAAAGTATCCTAAATCCAAGACAGAAGATGAGATAGGAGACGGAGACTGGGTGTGTTGGGATTGTGAAAGAAGTGTATTGCTCAAAGTTCTATGAGATGAAATATATGCAGTCTCTTTAATGTTCACATTCAAGTTAATGCAATATATTTGATTATATATAATCTGTGTACACTCACATACTTACGCGTGGAAATCTTACTGTAACACTGGTACAAGCTATGTATGCAGCAAATGCTATAGACAGAAATATCAGATATCTTTCAAGGAGATTTCCATTATCTTCAGTGCTACTTCTGGCAGTCCTTTTATCTATGGCAGATACAATATGAAACAGTTTTTGAGGACCATTTGACTAGATTGTTTTCATATTTCAGTTTTCAATGAATTTATTAGGCTCTTTCTCCTTTTTCAGTATTCTTGTGTTTTTCAGAGATTAAAAAAAAAAAAAAAGTGGTACAGTTCTGTGTTGCCAGAACTTTTTTTTCTACCTTAGAATTCTTTTTATGTATACTTGGGTGTCTCTTTTAACATGAAGCAGCAAGATACATAAAAGATTCTTTCCTTTAAGCTCCTAGATAGAAATATATAGATCATGTATTGTATCTGTGAGGCAGATTTTTTTTAGTGACATCCGAATGCTTCTGCTTCCACTTTTTTTTTCTCCATTCAAGAATTTTCCTTCAGAAATTATGACCATAGTAGCCATGCACGTGTTAGATCCTACAAAAACTAGCTCTGTCTCCATAAAGAATCACTTTGAAGGAGTTCTCCTGAGAATTTCCTTCTAAGTTTCTTCCCCCAAAATTCTACAGACATGAAAGTCTTCTATCAATTTTAATACCGTTGAAGACTTCCTCAATTTGCAAAATGGGAAGCGTGGCTTTATTCTTGAACAATAAATTATTTAGATACAAGTTTTTGTTTTTGTTTTCCAAGAATCTTGTTCCTGTTCATGAAGTGCAGTGTAGTGCAGTTCTTCCACTTTGGAAGAAAAAGCTTGAAATAGGGCAAGGGTCATGTTCTTCGTAAAATAATTTATGTAATGAGTTGCACGGGTTGTTTTTTGCTTCTTCCTCGTGCTGTTTTTCCTACGTAGAATAAGTAGTTGTTGAGGGGTCAGAATACAATGCTGATGATAACGCTACATAAAACCGCTAAACTGATTCTTGTTGCTCCAGCTGAGGCATGCAGATTAAACTGTATACAGTTCTTCCACATGTGTTCTGTTTCCAGATTCCTCACTTCATGTATTAAACAATAATATGAGTTTGTATGGATCTATATTTTAGATTCATTTAAATTGTTTTAAATAATGTTTTAATTCTTTTTTTTTTTTTTTTTTTTTCACATCTGGATCTCAGATAGAAGATTTAATGTGCCCTCTCATAAAGTTTTCATTCTATAAACATAACTTTAATAAGAGATGTATATTGCTTTTAATGCTAGTTAGAACTGTGGGTAGAAAGGCCCTCTTTTCTCCATCCATGATTGAAATCATATGGAAGCAATTTGTGATTCTGATGTTCCTGAGCCATAAATCCTCAGAGCCAAACTATGTCTTACCCAGTTCTCTGTGTACTGATTTTTTTTTTTATTTTTTTCACTGTTACTATTTCCTCGGAAATAGTTTTCCAGTATTAAATGTATGTAATATAGTCATTTAAAGTTTGATTTGCTTATAATTTCTATATAGTTTACTCATCTGAATATCCACAGTATTGTTTCTGACTGGAGCAACATCATCTGTATGATGTACTAATATGGCCAGGCTCTTCCTGGAAGCCCTCCAAAAGTGTATGTTATGCAGAACACATACTTTAGGGCCTGGTAGCAAAGAATTCTGTTTGTTTTGTGTACTTTCTGCTCCCCAGCACCCACCATATGCCTTTTACAAATTAGTATACTTTACACTTTGTATTTAATGTATCAGGGATTTGTTGTGTTGTTTCTGTGCTGTTTGTAGTATTAACCAATCTGTTGTAGGCAGTGGTGTTTTTGAATCATGAGGATTATTGCAGAAACTTGGGAATATGTGGTTAGAAATAAAGAGTTTCATTTTTCTTGTTGATGGAAAGGTACAGTCTAGGTGTCTTAACATGCTGTCAGTATTACCCAGCTCTTGTGACTGTAAGTAGCTCAAGAGAAAGTTGGGGCATCTCTGAAGATATGATTATAAAAGTAATGTAATGCCATTTGTTTTCAGTATCAGTGACTATTATAAAGATCTGAATGAGAATTTAAGTTGATAAAAACATTCTAACACAGGAGTTTCTATACGTTTTAGTTCTGCTAGGAGATTCAGTTATCATGCTGGATAAAATATTA